TAGGTCTGCTTCTACCCAACACACATATTTTTACAGGATTCAGTTTAAAAGCTCTTAATGGGCATGGGTATTGGAAAATGTCCCAGAGTGGAAATTCAGAGAGCAGGGTTTATGGAGATGTGCTTAACAGTGAAATCCTAGAGCATCAGGTGTCGAATTTGGAGGGATTCTCTCTAAGGCGTAGTCTGTTGCCAGCTAACTGTCTACACATAATAGCTGACTGGACTAAAGGCATTTATCTTCAGTGCCAATCCAGCAACCCACAGCTATTTACATAAGTCTTTCCTTTAATTGCTTTCATTCTAAAACGAGCAGCAGAGTAATCTCTAGCAAAGTGTCTTCATGAAGGGAGGCAGCAATACTAAAGCATGGGAAGAAAGAGGTTTGAAGATTTCTTAGAAGAAACTATGAAATCAACCAAGTGGTGTTTCAGGAGCAAAGCTGGCTTTGATGTGAAAGATGGATAAAGTTTCAGTGGTGGCTGGCACATCCTCTCCCTTCAGAGTTCGAAAGTACTCTGCAGTGCCACCAAATGCAAACCCATCTGAGTCACAAGAGATAATATGGGGAATAAAATAACTAACTATAATTAACTGAAGAGGCTTGTGGTTTGGATTTGTGAATTGGAACATTGTCCATATAATTAATTTAATTAGTGTGGTCTTTTATAATTAGCCCAGTTCAAAACCGTGGAGCTATCCTTGACACAGTTTAGACAGCAGTGTGGAGCTGGGGCAGGTTTCAGCATGCAGTTTGAGTGAGGGCAGGACAGACTGGCACCCCATACTGGATTTGGATACTGGGGTTGACTGAAGAACCAGCAGGATTAGAGCTTTAACCCTACTTGGTTGTCTCCACTTCCCAGCGAGGGAGTCACTGTTGGTCTGGGGAGATCAGGCATGAAGTTGTGCAGGTTCCTACTGTGCCACTGCTCACATTTACCCATCTCAGGCACCACTGGCCAAGGTCCCATCTTTCTGATCTCCGGGACTTGGCAGCTTAAGCTTTTAGTATCAGAACCTCAGCTCTGGTGGCCCTTATTTCTCTTAAAATCCCATTTTGGCAACTCGCTTTCCTTTTTTAATCCTTTTTTCTCACAGGTACCAGTTCTGAGTGGGCTTGGGAGTGGCTCTTTATCCCAGGGGAAGAGCTGTGTTTCTAACGGAAGACTTGAGTCTCGGTTCCTGTGGCCTCCATTTCCAAAGACTCAGTCCAACGCATCCTAAATTAACTCACCAGGCAGCAGAGTATGAAATCGGACATGACCGATCGATCCTCAGGCATTGATTCAAAGCGAAACTAATGGAATGTAAAGAAAATGTAAGAATCTATGGCACTGTAAAGGCTGCCTATTTAACCATTTTACTAAACAAAATTTCATTTGGGAGCTGGGTGGAGGCGTCATGTTTGAAGAACTGACTGAAACAAGGCATAGGGACATTGCAAACTATTGCTGTACAAATCAAGCCTTGAGGGAATGGCTTTGTTAGATGCCACTGACTAAAATAATTGCATTATAATTTTGGCTAGAGGCACCATCCTATATGATTTTTAAACCGTGCACAGATAGTATAGATTGAGTGATCTTGCATCCAGCTGCAAAGAACTGAGAAGTCCGCTCAGCATACCATGTCTATGCTTTGACGTGGAGAAAACCCCAAACCGTGTCTTAGCCTCATCGAAGGGAGATCTCTGAGCTATAGCGATCAGCAGCACTGCGTGCTCCTTCTGCAATGGTCTGAGAAAGGAACCAGGGGCTTTCTCCTAAGGTAAGTGGCAGAAAATTAATTCTTCCCAGGGCAGTACAGAGCAGGCAGATCCCTGTCAGACACAAAGCAATGTGAATTAAGCCTGAGAGTATTTGCATCTTGGCATTTAACTTTTTTTGACAAGAAATTTAAGATATACATCTGCTTTCGTGAATCACAGCTGATGAAAACCTGGCCTAAATTTAATACAGAGGTGATTTGGTTGGTGGCAAATGATCAAATTAACTTTAAAAAAAGAAGTAACAAAACTAAGCAATAAAGAAACTTCCTCCAAGAGAAATGGTGGATTTCCATCTGGTTCTGATTACATGCATCAATTTTGATTGTTTGAAATAAACACAAAATATTTGCACAGACACAAAGGTAGTCAGATGGTATAGTGAGAAATGTGTCAGGTGTGTACATTTTCTACTAAAAACGGTCCATTTCCAGTATACTAGACTGCAGTGTTAGAGCACTAGAATTTCTAGTACACTAGTAGACTGGAAATGATGATATCATTGATATTTGAAATTACGCTCTTTGAGTAAACTGAAATACTCTGTTACACAGAGCTCAAATAAGGGGAAGGGAAAGGTGGACAAATTGGAAGCACATTGCCATGGTTTTAAAGTAGTTTTGGCTGATTTCTTAGAAACTGTCTTTCATGGCTCTGGACTAACTTCTTTGCTTTATACACAACATTCACCATGTCAGTATTCGTACTGTGGTTCCACCAGTGCTGATTTGAGGGAAAGTGTCTTGGCATAATAAGCTCACTTATTGAGCAGAATCACACTGCTCCTGCAATTACTCTCCTCTGATGGCCGTTACAAAGGCAAAATGAGGCTGAATTTGTTTAAATACTGGTAGAAACAACTTAAGAAACAAACACATCTATAGAGCCAAAGTGATATATTTACATTGCTCTTCTTGTCCTCTCTTACCCCAAATGGTTACATTCACTTTCTGTTCCAAAACAGGCAATGATAATTCCTACTGCTAGAGGAATGCTAGCTTTTCACCTCTGGGATTAAAACGTGTCCTTTCACTTTTATTCCTGCATTTACATTGTAGCATCTCAGTTAGTTTTGGGTAGTTTTTGGTTGGTTGGTTGGGTGGTGATGGGGTTTTTTGGTTGTTTTGTTGTTGCTGTTGTTTTGTTGTTGGGGTTTTTTTGTGTATGTATAGTCTATTCATTTCAGGGAGGGACCAACCATTTACAAGGCAGCAAATATACCCAAAGCTCCTTTACTTAACTGTTGTGTTGCCATCATTCAGTCACCTTTCAGGGGAAGTGGTACAGAGCAATTAGGATGTGTCACCTGCCCGTACTTGGCCTCTTGAGTACCCTGGATTTGGGAGCCTGCTCTATGTGGTCCTGTACTTCTCTCACTTTACTGAAGGGGAACTATTCTCTGTCTGCACTTGAAAGCTCAGAAGAAAATAGGTTCAACATTGTTAGCTCGAGACGTAACTTTTTCTAGTAGACATTTCAATGTATGAACACCTTTGCACCCAGCCAACCTATGAAGTTGCAACCATTTGATATCTGCTCTGAAAAAATATCCATGTGAAGTCAGAAGAAAGATCTGGCATATTTCTTTAAAGAAGAGGAAAAGAGACCACAATAGTTCTTGTTGACTTTTAAAATGTATCTTTCAATGATATACATAGCAGGGAAGAAGCGAGGGAAGATATTCCATGTTCATCACAGCACCAAAGAAACTTCTTGTGCTGCTCTGTTTCCTCAACCAGTTCCCTGTGCCAAAAAGGGAAGTTTGTTGTGTAGATTAAAATTTGCAGGAAAAAAAAACAACCCAAAACACAGAAATGTAATAATAAAATGTAGGATGCCTATGCAGTGAATGACTGCACAGTTGGATACAACTCAAAATCTTTACTTGTGGTGTGGATAAATACAGGCTCCAAGCAGAATCGTGCTATAGGGAATCATATCAGAAACCACGACCAAGCTCTATTGATAATGGTGATATCACCCAGCTGTGCCATCAATTAAAACTGTGTAAGACTCTGTGTACTGCAACCAGCCACACTTAAAAAGAAACTTTAGAAATTGCACTTTACTAAAGGTTGTGATTTAGTGGAATCTGGGAAGTTTTGAAAGTACAGCAGCATACAGAAGTTAAGTGCGAGCCCTATGATGAATATGACCCCAGCTGCTTTCAATATTTTGTTACCATGTTAGCAGAAAGAATTCCAGAAACACAACACTGAATGTGCGGTGTGTTCACAAATAAACAGACAAATACCCTACATTTCAATTCCCCGCATTACCCTGAAGCTCCTGAATAGTTTCCAGAGAAACTATTTGGAAATCAAGCATCTGGCCGCAGAATGCAGATCAATTTGCTGGCAAAGCAGAGAGCTTCTGGGTAAGAGGTAGTTAAAAAAGTCCTCTCTCACAGCTAAAAACCTCCACATCGTTCCATCATGTAACCCCTGTTTTACTTATCTGTCTCAGGTGTTGAAATTTATAATTAAGACAAAGTGTTGGTGACTCAGGAAGACTTTAAATGCATAAAATATTACTCCTAGAAGCACTGTTATTTTATTAACATTCTCCTAGAACTGAGACTATTTATACACGTACAGCTATGTGTACATTACCTATGTATTTGCAGTTTTAGAAATCCAAGGGAGAAACCTGTGGGTTTTTACCCTGGTAGATGGGGAAATATTGAGTGAATGGCACTAATAATGCTACTACCTTGAGGTACAAAATCAAACATTTTTTTTCTGTCACAGTTACAGGATACTTCTCAATAGTTTATCAAACAAATGAAAGCCATGAGTGTTATGTATTATTCTAGTAATTTTTCACCCAAAACTATGGCAAAGCCACAGACAGTTGAATGGAGTGGGTGTAAAATTAAACTATAGTTGGCAAAGGATTTGCGAAGTGAAAAAAAAATTGTCTTCTTTCCTAGTGGGAAGAAAATAGTATAAAACTGCAGCCAGTTAAGAACTGCTGTGGCTTACAGATGAAATCAATCTCTCAAGCTTAAAATAATCTCACATTTGCATCTTTCACCGGTAATCATAATGTCTGCCTTCATTTAAAGACCCATTAAGTAGAAAATAATGATGATGAACTAAGAGCTTTCTTGCTATCAGAAGAACCTATATGAAAGATTGTTATATATTTTTAAAAGGCCATTTCCAAAAGAAATCCAATACTGTATTAAATTAACATCATTTTTTTTGTATTTCAGACATGAACTTCTGACCATGGGGGACTGGAACCTGTTGGGCAGCATCCTTGAAGAAGTGCACATCCACTCCACCATAGTTGGCAAAATCTGGCTCACAATCCTGTTCATATTCCGGATGCTGGTGCTGGGAGTGGCTGCTGAAGATGTCTGGGATGATGAACAGTCCGAGTTCATCTGCAACACAGAGCAACCTGGCTGCAGCAATATCTGCTATGACAAAGCCTTTCCCATCTCTTTGATTAGATACTGGGTACTGCAGATCATATTTGTCTCTTCTCCATCTCTAGTTTACATGGGTCATGCACTCTACAGATTGAGGGCTCTAGAGAAAGAGCGACAGAAGAGGAAAGCCCACCTGCGGGCTCAGCTAGAAGATCTGGAGCCCATGCCCGAGGAACACAGGAGAGTGGAGAGGGAGCTGCGTAAACTGGAGGAACAGAAGAAAGTAAATAAGGCACCCCTGAGAGGGTCCCTGCTGCGCACCTATGTCATACATATCCTGACCCGGTCGGTGGTTGAAGTGGGCTTTATGATAGGTCAGTATCTTTTATATGGGTTTCACATGTCCCCCCTTTACAAATGCACTCGGCCCCCTTGCCCTAACACGGTGGATTGCTTTGTGTCCCGACCCACTGAGAAGACCATCTTTATGGTTTTCATGAACAGCATTGCCGCAGTCTCCTTGTTCCTCAACATCCTTGAAATCGCCCACCTGGGCCTCAAGAAGATCCAAAAGAG